TGTCTTTTATATAGTATATATGATTCAAACTCCATTACAGCATTGTTTTCTTATAACAGAATATGTAAAATTTTTGCATTATTACACAGTATGTAAATTTGTTTGTAAACTTTTGTAATTATTGAATTAAACCTTTAATTATGTCATTTATAAATGGAATGTTATAATGATGTTTTTTAAAAATTTGCAATATGATAGTATTTTAAAAGATTCATGCACTGCTGTATATATCTGGAAGATTGATTGGTTCAGAAATTATGATATTCTTTATACATGTATTAATCACATACTTTCTTTTGTGGCCATGCCTTCATGACGATATATTAGTTTTAGATGAAAGATACAGTCAAGTAGCATCTTATTACTAATCTATTCCAATGATGAGTTTCACTTCTTTGTTAAAGTTTTTTTTTTTAAATTTAAAGTTTTTGTGTTTGTAAAGTACTATCTGGTTTGTAATGCATGTACATGTATAAAAATTTTAAAATTAATATTTCATCTCATAGGCATTTAAATCAACATTGATTTCTTTAGTAGATTAATTAACTTCTGGTGATACCTATTATATTGAATTTAAGAATTAGAATGAAAGAGTTTTGGTGTTATACACATAATTACTGCAGTTATTATACAACCAATGTCAGAAGGGTATATCTGCAAAAACATTGTAAACAGAACAGTTGTCCCTGTAAAGTCAAAGACTAACTCCTAGCTGTGTTAATGTAAAACTATTATATAAACACTTGGTTTATAAAAAGACTATTCTCCGGTGTTACATGTGAAATTTATAAATCATCATTCCATTTCTGAGAAGACTATCTCCTGTATTACAAGTGAAACTGTTAAATCAACACTCGATCCATTTCTGAAGAAACTATCTCATGTGTTACATGTGAAACTGTTAAATCAGGATTCCATTTCTGAAAAGACTGGCTCCCATGTTCCATGTGAAATTGTTAAATCAACTTTCCATTTCTGAGAAGACGTACTGGCTCCGTGTTACATGTGAAACTGTTAAATCAACATTTTCTGAGAAGACTGGCATGTTACATGTGAAACTGCTTTTTACATTCTGTTGTACATAATCAGATATTAAGAATATTTTTTAAAAACTTTTTTTGCTTATAAATGTTGTTGAATTACACTAAGGCAATTTAGAATTTTCTAAATATGGTATTTGTATAGTAATACATTCATCCTAACAAGCATCTAATATGCTCTTTTCTTGAGGATGAAAGTATAAATACTTTATAGTAAACTGTTTAAGTCCTAGCTGCTGTCACTAATTAAATTATGTGTATTTAGAAAATTTTATAACCAAATCTGTGACTACCAAATTTATCATATTTTGTGCATTTTGAAGTTCCTTCTTAAATGTAAATAATCCTATAATTTCCAGTGTATATTTGATTATAAAGAGACATGTAGATATACTTATTTTTGTTTAATTTTCATCTGTCAAAGGTGTTTAGTGAGGCAGATACAGTATTATATTTGATTTTGTAAAATATACAGTATGCATAAATTTAAAGGACAAGGATACTCAAAAAAAAAAAATATATATATATATACAAATTTGTAAAAACAGTTTGTACAGACTTGTTTATTGCTAAAACACATATTCATTATGAAGTTTTCCTATCAAGCCATACTTATTTTTGCAATATCCCCATTTCTATACTTTTAATAACTACATATATCTATATTGAAATTCAATGCAAAAACATAAAAAAAAAGATATCCCTCTAATAAATTTAGAATTTACCCTCATTTACCATATAACAAAAAACTGGAATGTAGAAAAAACACAATTCAAAAAACTATGATAAAACCCAATCTCCAGATTTTGAGCATCCTGTGACCTTAAATTTATTTTTCAAAGCTGATTTGTATTAAAAAAAAGTCTTGATATATGTATTCAGATCTTTGTAAACAACTTTTAATCTTTCTTTTCGCTTTCGCTATGTAAGATTAAAGAAGTTGTTCTCAACAATGACGGCAGCTAAATTTCCTATTTTCTGGAAATATATCACTTAGCTATCAATTTTCGTTGTGCAGATATTGAAATTTTAATCACAGATACTGTGAATTTAAAAGTATATTTACTTGATATAAAATCACTGGTCTAGGAAATCTTTTTTTTCAAAGGGGGGGGGGGGTGCATTGTTTTAAAACGCTATTGGAGCAGAATTATTTAAACTATGTACTAAACATATTTTTTATTCTTGTCATGTTGCATTTATCTGTTGATTACATTCTTGATCATATTATGAAAAGTTTAGGATAACTTTATGGTTCAATTTTTACTTCTTGTGCAGATTTTGAAATGTACATGTGCAATTTAAGCTAGGTGGACAAATTCATGTACTTGCACCATAACCTACTATAACTGCTAACTCAAATTTAAAAAAAAAATGTTCATGCTACCATGATTTGACAATATCTATTTAATGTTTAACTGTCTGAATCACCAATGACATGAAGCATTCACTTTTTAAAGGTAAGTAGTGTAGAAAGAGGGGGTCAATGGCCAGCCCGTAAAGGGAGGTAAACCTTGCTTCTTTCAGATGATATAGAAATAAAGTGAAGATTGCTTCATAAGTAGTTTGTTTGGTGGTAAAATTTCAGACAGTAGATAAAGTACTTTCATATTGTTGGAAAAATGAACAAAGTTAAATATCAATGAATTGTTCACCAGGCTTTCTAAATAAATGCAATAAATATATATTGCAACTTGATTATTTAAGTCATTATTGTGCACATATTGAAGTCAATTAATGAACCATTGTACTTTTTATATACTAACATGCATTTGAGTGTGTATATATGGATTAGTGCATACATGATGGAAGTTAAGCAAGCAGTAATTTTATATCTGGATCGATGTGCTATTTTGCAAAGGAATGGTCTGCTTTGCAGTGACTTTGGTTTTTTCCCTTAATTTGCTTTGTTATGTGGAGTATTGTGTCATATTTTAATTTAAGTCATTGTACAATGTTAGATATTAAGATATTTAATCATGAATCTTTTCAAACCTGATGTTATGATAAAGAATTCCATTGGTTACATGTAAATCATTATCCTTAGTGAATTTAAAACTCAATAAATCTGATATGGCTTTTTGTGTATGTGTCATTTTTTATTACAGTATGTTTAAAGGACTGTAAGAAAGGAAAGGTATACTCAGTTGAAAGTTGTTACATGATACTCAGGTGACCTACAAGGCCCATGGGCCTCTTGTTTATCATAGGGATACCCATCTCTTAATCGCAACTTCTCCTATACCACTGAATAAAATTTAATGCTTTCACAGAATCTTTATTACATAATGCCATTGTGCACCTTCTATTTTGCTTTTTGATCTAACTCTTATTTGAGGTCTCCCATAGCAAAACATGAACTTTGCCATTATAATAGTATGGGAAGCGGGGGTATCATTTTGTGAGCTCAGTACTCACAGTACCTTTAGTTTTTTTACTTATATCACGTGCACATCTTCAAAAATATACAAAAATACTAACCATACCACTGAAATTTATGACTTACGGTTCTTGTACAGGCACAGGTAAAACAAGAATGCTGTGCCCAATTAGACTTCTTAAAATAATTTTGTGATGAATCTAAAATTCATATTTATAAGGTCTAAATTAGATATTTAACTTGGATAAAACATTCAAGTATCATAAACATGTATTGAAAATGGTTATCGACAAGCCAGAGGTGGCTGATTATAAGAACAGAGTGCATGGCATCCAAAGTCGGCTGAGAACAGAATGTCTGGCTAGTTGGAGTAATAAGGTGATGGTCCCAGATACAGTATATTTCTAAATGATTTAATTTTGGTTGTAACGCGTCATTTCATTGGATAAAACAATAGTTTTTTTATTATATAGCTAAATAATAGTCTATCATAAAAAAGCTACTACAAGTCTAGGGAATTTTAGCGTTCAATGTCTTGGAGTTTTATTGAACGCTGAGATTGTATTACGTACGATGAGAGATGTTTTAGCTATATAATAAAGGAGTTAATGAACTTATGTTGGTGAAATTAAACTCGCAAGTTCGTGCATTTGTACAGCCAACTCGTGCCATTATTCACCGAATAAAGTTCAATAACCCTATAATATCGTATAACCCGTGTTGCTTACGTCACAATGACTTACGTCAAAAACGTATCAATCCACTTGACGTTTCATTTAAAATTTGTACAATTTGAAGGCATTTTTGAAGGAGAAATTGTCTTATTTTCTACACCTAATGATGGAAAAATAAATTATAAGGAATGAATGCTACCTCAGTTATACTGGTATAACCTGGGTTGCAACAGTTGAAGCTATTATATAAACCGCTTTGCGGTTTATAAAGCGTAAACTGTCCCAACTCAGGTTATACAGTATTATTTGGGTAGCTTTTAAATTCATTTTTTAAATAATTCACTTTTACTTACTTAAAAATATATTTTTCATCAGCCATGTTAACGTCATACCAATATTATAGAATTTGATTTGCCCGTTCATGCGTTTAGATTAGCTCACAAATCAAATGTGTAAATAAAGTGACAAAAATTATCAATATTTAATTTACCATCTAATGGATTATTTTGGCGACCAGCAAATGTAGCGATTTTATTATCCTTAACGTTGGTATTTATTACTATTATTTTTATAATTAATCTTTAGCAATGATAAAGATAATTCTTTTTACTTTCTATGACAATATTTGTGATTGAATTATTAGCGACTTAGTATTAGCGTTGATATGACAATTATGTCAAAATTAGATGGTCGCTAAATTTACGTTCTATGGTATCTTATCAGAGGTCACCATCCCTAAAAATGTTACAATTATGATCTGTTTACGCAAAATGTACTTTGTGAAATATTACATTTGTACCTCGTCTGTACTCGTCATAATATGAAAATGACGTAAATCATTTTCAAATTTTCGTAAGCATAATTTATTATCCAGTGTAATGAAATATAAATAAAAATCGTTTTCAACTTTTGTAAACATACTTTATTATCCAATTATCATGTCTGTCTCTTTTGCACTGAAATTACAAATAATATTTCAATATTGAGTAAATTACTATGTAACAATCTAAATTAATGAAATCATAAATTTGTTTTTGCACATGGATGCTGTAATTAAAAGATTCAGAAAACATTTACAAATCAAAATACTGATATGTCAGACAAATGTACTTCGGTAGATTAAAAACACTTGTGTTATTTTTGATGGGTAAACAAAGATAAGGTCTAGTATGATTGATTCATATTCTTGATTACTGTTCGGTAGCTTCATAGTTCAATATTTCATGAAAATTATAAACATATATAATATAAACCAAAAATAAATAGATAAAAAAAAACGTTTGTGATAAGATTTTGGTTGTTAATGCAGATGGCTTTCATATATAAGAAACAAACAATCTGTACCCTTAAAAAAATGTATTATAAAAGGATACTGATATTATTACCACTTCAAGATAAATCAATGGTGGAATTTTGTAAAACATTCCAAACACTATATTTGGAAAGTTCGTCTGTTAAATAAAATGGAAAGGACATGTATAACGTTGTGTTATTTTTGAGTTGCTCGAGGTTTTTAGCTTGATATCTTTGATTACTCACCGTATTTAGTTTGTACCTTTCTTGTAGAGATTTCATACCTTTTCTCGCAGATCGGATAAAATTTATTGTCGCACTGATTGTCATTCCACTCGTAGTTGTAATCATACGTCATTTCCATGCAGTGCTCATCAGAATCGTCTCCCCCGTTATCCGGAGATCCGCCACGGTAATTAGTAAATCCTGCGTCAAGGCGGACCTGAGTCCCTTCCCATATAAATGTACCAGTTTCTGCAATGTCTGTTGCTCCTATCCAGAATCTCGGTGAATGGAACTGCCCTGTACAATTGAATTTAACATTAATTCATTGCAAAAACTTATTTAAGATTTCAGGATGATTCCTTTAGAGCAGAGCACATCCTATTTCTCGTGTTTCAAGCAGAACTTGTTTTCAAACTAGAGGTACTTTGAGCACTGAGCTCTCAAAATGATACCCTCGCTCCCATATAAATATAATGGCAAAGTGCACTGCTTGACAGTATGCAATTGAGATTCTGTGAAAGTTCTTTTGAATTTCATTCAGAAGTTTAGGAGGAGATGCGTTAACAAAATGGGTAGAGTCCATGTTTTGCTATGGGAAACCCCCCCAAAAAATTGTCCGATGAAAACGTAAAATAGGAGGTCATAATGGTACTAAGTAGTAAAGATTCTGTGAAAGTCTCATTCAATTTTATTCATAGGTATCTAGGAATTAATAGTTGCTGGGTACTCCAGTGTTAAATAAGCATGGCAAAGCCCATGTTTTGCTTTTGGAAGCCCTAAGTATCTTTTCGGTGGAAACATAAGATGGGAGATGCAAAATGGCACTAAGTAATAAAGGTTCCGTTATAGGTTTAAAGGTTTAAATTTCATTAAACTGCACTCAGTGGTGTAAGAGGAGTTGCAAATATGTGATGACTACCCAAAGTGTACCAAGGATGACATAGTCCCATGTTTTGCTAAGGGAAACCACAAATATCTGTCCGATTAAAAAGAAAAATAGGAGATGCAAATGGCAGTATGTAATTAAGATTCTAAAAAATGTCCAAGTTTTAGACAGTGACATGGGAGTTAGGACAGTGATAGATGAGTATCCAAATGTTAAATAAAAAAGTGTTAAATCAATGTTTGTCTATGGGAAACCCTAATTGTCTGCTCGATCTAAACGTAAAATAGAAGGTCACAATGGCACAATGTAATAGACTTTTTGAAAGTATCATTAAATTTTGGTCAGTGGAATGGGAAATCAAGGTCAGCGGAACATGCCTGGAAACAGTGAAGACAATTAATTAGTACCTAGGCTCCAACTTATCAGACGAAGGTTCGAAACCAGAAATTATGACAAGGATTGCACAAACGACTGCACATTAGCAAAACTACAAAACATCTGGAGAGACAGGAACATTACCCTGCGCCCGAAAATCCAAATAATGCGCTCCATTTCTATGTCGGTCTTCCTACACGCCTGTGAAACCTGAACACTCACCACAGAGCTGGAAAAGAGGATTGTGGGCACCGAGACAAGATGCTACAGGAAGATACTAGGCATCCGATACACTGACCATGTGACCAACGAAGAGGTCAGCAGGATAGTCTCGGAAGCTATAGGACCCCACGGTGACCTCCTCACTGTTGTCAAGAAGCGGAAATTAAACTGGTACGGCCACATTTCCCGCTCAAGAGGCCTTGTAAAGACAATTCTGCAAGGGACAGTTGAAGAAGACTAGGAAGACAGAAAAAGAGGTGGGAAGATAATATACAAGAATGGACAGGATTGAGCCTGGCTGAATCTCAGAGAGCATGCAGCAGAAAACAGTGAGATGGATGAAAGTGGTGGACATGTCTTCAAAGATGCCCCAACGACATCTACGGAAATCAAGGAATAGTGAAGGAATAGTTGAAGGTGATGGGAAGAATTGCGGTGAATATCTCTAGTATTATACACAGCTGTTCATGTTTCTTTATGGGAAACACCAAATATGCTTCCGATCGAAACCTAAAACTAGAGGTACTGTGAAAATGATCTCACAAAATGATACCCTCTGCTTCCATATATGAGTATAATGGCAAAAGTCCATGTTTGCTATGGGAAACCCCAAATTTCTGTCTGAGCAGAACACAAAATGGTAGGTCACAAAGGTGCTATGTAAAAAGATTCTGTGAAAGTCTCATTACATTTTATTCAGTGGAATAAGGAGGAGTTCCGGATAATAGATCGGTACCCCGATATTATAGAAAGAATGTCAGTGTCAAGGTTTAATTTGCTATGGAAAACTTCAAATATCTGTCCGATCAAAACGAAAAATAGGAGATGCACAATGGCACTTTGTAATAAAGATTCTGTAAAAGTCTTGTTAATTTTTATTTAGCGGTATAGGAGGAGTTGCGATAAGACATGGGTAGCCTTCTCCCCCCTCTTTTTAAAGAAAGAATGGCAGTGTCGTGTTTTGCTTTGGGAAACCCTAAATATGTGTTAGATCAAAAAGTAAAATAGGGAGAGCACAATGGAACTACATGTATTTAATAAAAATTCTTTGAAAGTCTCATTAACGGATGTATACAGAATTTCAAAAGAATTGACCTATATATGTAGAAGAGAACAATTTCCCGGAAAAAGTTGCATTAAAAATCATTGATCACTCGTTATTTTTTTATCGTATATAGGTCTATAATTTTCAAATTTGCATTTTGAACTTAAAATTTATTATTTGTAACTTTGAAATTAACCTCTAATGTTGGCTTAAAAAGCACCGATTTTTTCATGAATTTTGAAGTCCATCGGGGTAGGCCTGCCCCGAAATAAAATTATGATATTTTCATAGATTGTGATCGAAGGAATAATTCAAGATAGGATTTTTTAGGGGCACCCCTGCCCTAGAGTTGAAATTCATAAAAACCTACAAAAATAAGTAGACCTGTTTCTGACAACCTGGTTCATATTTTTTGCCATCTATTTTTATCGCCAGATTAGTTCTAATGGTATAATAGCTGATTATTATCTCTACATACTAAAATAAAAAGATTTATAATGAAATTAGTACATGTGCGGAGCCTTAAGTCATTGACCAGAACGGTAATCGACAAGTTTTTGTAAATACTAAAATCTATCCCGGCCCTTTAGGTCCAAGCTCCATTTATATATAACGAAGTGTTCCCTTTATTCATGGATATAGGAGGAGTTTCGGGTAAGAAATGGGTACATCCAATATTACAGAAAGAATGGCAGTGTCCATGTTTAACTAAGATGACAACCTCAAATATCTATCAGATCATAAATTAAACTAGAGGTACTGTGAGCACTGAGCTCACGAAATTATACCATATGATTATAATGGCACAGTCCATGTTTTCTGGGAGATCCGAAATAAGTGTCAGACCAAGAAGTTAAATAGGAGGTGCACAATGGCATTATGTAATAAAGAATCTGTGAAAGTATCATTAAATTTTATACAGTGGTATAGGAGGAGTTGGGAATAAGAGATGGGTACCCTTCAGTACTATAGAGAGAATGGCAATGTCCATGTTTTGCCATGGGAAACCCGAAATATGTGTCCGATCAAAAAGTAACATAGAAGGTGCACAATGGCATTATGTAACAAAGATTTTGTGAAAGTCTCCTTAAATTTCATTCAGTGGTTAAAGAGGAGTTGCGGATAAGAGATGGGTACCCCAAAGCGTAACAGACGGACGTACAGCCATACGAACGTACAGACGGACGGACGGACATCCCAATCACTATATACCCTCCCACTTTTCTAGCGGGGGGTATAAAAGGTGTAATAATGGCACTGTGTAATAAAGACTCTGTTAAAGTCTCATTAATTTTACTCACTGGTAAAGGAGGAGTTGTGGATAAAAGATGGGTACTCCCAATGTTATAAAAAGAATGACCGTGTCCATATTTTGCTATGAGTAATCTAATTATCTATTTTATTTATCTACCGGGTCAAAAAATAAAATAGGAGACGCACAATGGCACTATGTTATAAAGATTCTGGGAAAGTCTCATAAAATTTTCAGTGGTATAGGAAGAGTTGCAGATGAGAAATAGGTACCCTAAAGTGTTACAGACGTATGGAAGGACGTGCGGAAGGATGGAAGAACGGACACCCCCATCCCTATATACCCGCTTTTTTAAGCAGGGGAAGGAGGGGGGAGTAATAAAAGATGCACAATGCAATTATATAATGAAGACGTTGTGAAAGTTTTATTAAATTGCATTCAGTGGTGTAAGATAAGTTGCGGATAAGGGATGGCTACCCCCAAGTATAAAGGACGTACGAACGGACACCTCCATCACTGCCCCGCCCTCACTTATCAAGTGGGGGAATAAGAAGAAAATGACCATATAACGTTCGTTTTAGTAAAGGAAGCATATTGCTTTTACTTCTCGGTCAGTCAGATGGTTAATGAAATGGTTTGTATGCTTAAGTCATAACCGTTTCAATATTTAAAATAAATTTGAACTGTTACCAAATTTTCTTGACAGTCTTCGAATTTTCTTTAAGGAAATTGGCTATGAAAAGTAAGTCGTCCTTCAGAAACATTTCTTCTTTCAAATACACTGTATAAAAACAGAAAACTGAGAAACTGATTCATACCATGAATACTTTTCAGGTAATGAACAAGAAATGCGTTTTCTTCTTGGGTTTCGATGCTGACCAGTTTGGTTCCATAAGCATGACAATACATCTGTATAGATTTTAAAATATTTTTTACAGACTTCATTGATTTGTTTTTATATCATAAAAATTATATACTAGAGTACACAGAAGTTGGTTTTTACGATGAATTTCTGTATATCCACAACAGTAATCAACAAAAGAGAGGTTTACAAGAACATTTGCAAGATGAATACTATTGGAAGATTTTCTGGAACACTTACCCTGCCCTCTGCCCAAGTGGCCTGAATTCTAAGGATGTGGTAACAGGAGTCATCGTGTCGGACAAATCCATTCGGACACAGGGCCAAAGCTAAAAATAAAAGATGACCAATTTGTCTCTTTCTCTAAATATGCTTGGAAAGCAATTGTAGCTGCTAAACACAATAATTGTAAAGGGCATGAGTTTGTTTATTGTTTTTTTTTTGTTTTTTTTTTTTTATTTCCGCTTTTCAATATTCATATAACAGTATATTCATACAGATAAACATTGCGGATTTTTATTAAACATTCACTCTCCGATTCTTTCTTCTCACTCATTCACTTAGAGTATCACCTACATATAATATATATATATATATATATATATATATATATATATATATATATATATATATATATATATATATATATATATATAAATTCCATATATTTATGCATGTATACAAATTACAATGTTTACTATCTTTATAAGAAAAACAACAAAGTAAACAACTGCAATTTTTCTTTATAATTGTAATACATAGCTAATTATTTTTCAAATAAATGGTTTCAAAATAACCATCTCTTTTTGAACTGAATGTCCTACATATTTATTTCAAACAAATATTTTTCAAAAGTATAGTATTTACATATTATATTTTTAACTTCATCAAATATCAAAGATTTACAATTTCTAGATTTTTGGTATATATAATGTTTAACAAGCAAGATAATGACATTTGTCATTTGTTTATTGTTGTTTAACATCCCTGTCGAGAATTTCTCACTCATATGGAGACGCCACCACTTGGCGGTGGAGAGCTGCAAATTTGGCCTATACGTATACTCGGATCTCAGGGCCATTTAGCAGTGAGGGGCCTTTTTCGTGCCAGGATCTACTGCGACACAGGACCACGGTTTATACGGTCTAATCCGAAGGACCGATCTCCACGTCCCACAGTGGGATTCCAACCCGCGACGTAAGGATCAACTCCTTACTCCGCGACTCTAGAGCAAATGCTCATACTACTGCGCCACGCGGGCGACTAAAGGGCATGAGTTAAGGAATCACTGTCTAGTTAGTAGAGTATGCCAGGACAACAACGATAGTTGGAAACGTGGGATAATTTGCATAACGGGCGAAGCCCTTTATGCATAAATTATCCCACGTTTCCAACTATCGTTGATGTCCCTGGCATACTCTACTAACTACACAGTGATTTCTAATATTTCCATTTCATTGTGAAATAAAATTGTAAATTTAAATTTTAAAAATGTAGACTAATAGATTTAAATTACACGAGGCCTCACATGTCAATTTCAATAGTCCCCGCCCACTGTCGTCAAACACAAAGACAGCCGCACGAGAATTACATGCAAATAAGGCCTCCTTAGCGTCAGACACAAAGACAGCCGCACGAGAATTACATGCATATTAGGCCTTCTTAGCTCCTGACCTTTCGCTTGGCGAAATTTGCATTCCGGTAGAATGATCAAGAAATCAACTCAAGAAACTTTCAAAGAATTATCACAGAGAAAACAAATAGAAATGGAAATATTAAAACATCAAAGATTTTCAGAAAGGCTTTAACCAAAGACAAAGTGTTACAATAACAAGGATTATATCGATGCCATCCCTTTGAGGAGAAAAATAAAACCTTTACTTTATAATGATGTCAATTCAAAATTGTCAATGCTTCTGTATTATGTACATAGTTGATAGAAAAATAATGAACAAGTACCTTGACAAAGACTAACCAACAATATCAAAATCATCTCCATTTTGTTTTCTTATCTCGAATTATTCCACTTTTCGTGTCTTTCATAGTGTTTATTGAAACCTAGTATTTACATATAACAGTATTTAGTACAATGATATACTAAAAGGTCATATTCAACGAGAGAAAGGAGTCATTTTCATACTTTTCGTCATTTGATTGCAATGGGGTTTTGAGTTGTGACTGCCATTTATAATTGAACATATTTCTAGTGTATGGGGTCAGTCAACATTGATGATCTTGTAACATATTAGATGATTTTGTCCTTTATTGACTCGAAATCAGGAATGTACGTTTTCTTTGTTAAAAAGTGCACGGTCGAATGATTCTTAAGCTTAGAGAATAATCTTTGTTTCTTTATGTAGGAGTCGCTGATTATTATTTTGTATTTTAGATCTATTCGTGTCATTTTCAATGTAGATGAAACACACAAGGATTTAAACAAAATTAACAATGTGGAAATCTTTAAAATCTGACAGTCAAGATGTCATCCGATATTCCCTTTAGAAATATCTCGGCGTGAATAATTTATGAAGTTTCAAGTAACCGTGTTCATATAGAGAAGTGAAATGTTTAAGAATCCTAACTATTAAAAAAATCTTAAGAAAATGATTACATTCTGTGGGAAACGGGAATTAAGGTATTCTTTTAAGGAAAATGTTATAATTATTTCGGCCTAAAATTGGGAAGGGGAGACAGTAGAGACAGTCCGCTTGATTTGATTACCCCTTATCACTTTAAGATAAGTTATAAATATGCCTGTGTAGTTTTTCTTCACGGTTTCAAATATTCAAATTGGCTTTCCGAAAATATGGAGCGCTTGTCTGACAATAAAAGTGGAAAATTTGATCTCTCTTCTTTGTGAAGTATTTACAATTCAAGAAAATGCCAAGATTAAGAAACAAGAGAAAGAATTCTGTCGGAAAAGATTTCTGTCTCGCCCTGTTGACTATAATCAGGGGCTGTATCGCCTTCTTATTTGAAACCATATGATTAAAGACTAAAATTAAAGTTGTAGTAAAATATTTACACACACATACACAAATTGAAAATAATTTTTAACGCATAAAATGCAGAAAACTGTTTTGCAAAATGATGTTTGTTAATTACCAGAGAAGTGACGCTTGTTAACGTTGAATACCAACTCTTCAGATTTGAAGAAAAATGAAAATATTTATTTCGACTGTAAGAAAATGCAAAATTTCTCCCTGAGATCCATGTTTAAATATAAAAGTATACTAATACTTAGTTATAAAACCCTGGCCTGCATTATGATATTGTGAGAAATAAGAAATGGTTGAGAATGTATCGTTTAAATCAGTTCCAAACTTGGTCAGTGACCTGAACATGAAACTCTCTAATTCTTGGAACCTGCATGGAATGTTTTCATTGTAATTAAAACATTTCGAAAAATACCTTTAATAATCTTTTTCATTGCCAATCTTTTTTCGATCGTCATGATTATTCATCTTCATCAAGCAGCATATATACCCTTTCACGAAGAACAAAAACGAAGATAAATGAATATTATAAATAAGAAATATTCATGGCCAATCTTTTTCGAAGATAAATAAATATCATTGATCTTTACCAGAGTTTTAAATACAATTTCAAAATATTAACATTTTGATCTTAGTCACTTAACAGCCTTCGGCTATCGGCATGTGCCCTTCAGGTTTGGGCCAATAACAGCCCCTCAGAGACTGACAACGGGGACAATGTCAAAACAGTACTGTAAAAACTCTGCTGATTCATTTGCCTGAAACCCTGGAATCAATCAGATCAGGCCACTAATAAACTTGATGTGATTTTTGTTAAAAACTGTAATTCATTATTATAACTTGTATGCATTTTTTCATTCAAAAGTAATAAATATAGCGAGAGTTTACATGTGGCAACTGTTTATACGCACGTAGGTATAAGTAAAAGGGAATCAATATAATCCTCTGAGTTTGAATGTATTTAATAAAATACCTACATATGCATATTTGCCATAACTTAATGCACTGATGAGCATTCGAATGAGTGATGAATTCTATACAAACGACGATCCTTATACTACCTTCCTCAGTGGTGGCTACACCAAACATTTCTTGAATTCGGTCCTTTTTTACTAAAATAAATAAATTTAAAAAAAAAATAATAAAATTTCAAAAATAAAAAATGATAATAATAATAATAATAAAAAACTGGTTATGTAACTTGAAACGTTAAATCTTTTAATCTTAATATGTTTTTTAATTTTTTTTTTAAAGAGGTTTGAATTCCATAATGAATACTGCTCAGGGATATTTAATTTAATTTTTCCCGATCTAACTGCCGTACACTTGAACTGAGGAGGACGTCTGGAGAGTAAAGCCTGCAAATAATAAATCAATTACATAATATTGTCACCTATATCCTGCATTGTCAAGTGCTGTTTAAAATTCACATCGACATTGTAAAACCTGCTCAGTTTTTCATTCCTGCTTCTCTATACGTAAGGATTTTTTTGAAAACCAGTTTGGGCGCCATGTCACTGATCAGAAGAAGGTATGTATATAGCAAATAATTATAATGAGGTGTGATCTACTGAATATTGTTCTGTATCTAGAAAATGATTTTAGACGAAACTCAAAGGGAAATCTAATAGTTTTTATAGCAACAGAACTATGCACTACGTCCAGGTGCACCAAAGTCTTGCAAAGAACTTATCTATGTATTGCATTTAAAAATCACTTAATTATGGTTGCATTTCAATGAAGTGACGGTGGAATGCCGTTCTTCAGACATTAATTATTTACTTTGACATTTACAGATAAGGGAACACGACGTCTGCACAAATTATGTATATTTATAATATCGACATTTTGTTTATAGTGTAAATAGTTCAGTAAATTTGGGGTCACATCAGAGTATTTCTTGTAAAAAGTATTGAAATTGGCAAGTCGAATGATGATACAGAAACACATAAGAGTCCCACGACATAAAACGATTCACAATGTAGTATAGTACCATGGGATATTTAGAGAATATTCGATGTTTCGTAGTTGGATATGTTTATTTTACGAATGGGACATGATGTTTTTTAAAATTATATTTCCATGCGTACGAAGCATGAATGAAATTATTATTAAAGAAATACTGTTTCACGACTACAAAACATGGAATTTTTTAATTTGACATATAAGTGTTCCGATTGTTATTTTCACATCGTTAAAATTGCATGTATTATTTCCCAAGAGTGAAATTATCAGTTGATTTCATTCAAAAATGATTTCCAGTATTTCACTGTTGTAAATGTGAGAAAAAGAGTTAGAGAGAGAAAGGAGAGAGAGATTCTTTGCCAAAAATTAACGTCATTCTTTTTATTTCTTGAAGATCAGGAATTTTAAGCATTTTCACGTGATTTTTATAAACCTTTTGTTTGAAACTAGCATATCCGGGCATCGGTATCATAAAATGGCTTAATGTTATGTAATACTTGATTTTAAATTCGGAAGTCGAATATACAGTGGTATAAATCATTTCTTTGTTAGACCAAATACAAAAAAAAAAATGTTTTTCACTTTTGTATGTTATCTGTAAAATACGTACTATCAGCTTAAGTACATGGTAGTTTCTTTTCTTGTTGATAATGAATACGTCAGACCAACTAAAATTCTGGGTTTTTTTTTTTACAAGGACGCAATTTTAATAAATTCTAAGAACCCAGAATGAATCTCTCTCTCCCTACCTCTCTCTCTCTCTATATATATATACTTTAGGTGGGAACTCTATAATTGAAATTCCAATTAGTACCAATCTAATTGAAATTAGATCTTTGATCCGCTCCAACTAGATGCTACACACAGTGTAGCGATCTGGTTGGAGCGGATGAAAGATCTTACTTTAGTACAAGTCTTTCTTTTTTTTCTTTTTTTTTTTTTCATTTTCAGGGCTTTGTATAAGCGAAAGTCTGATTTTTCCAGAAGTTACAGCGATGAGGGCTCATTTCATGGCGAGACAATTTACAGTCAAACTCTCGAAATCTCTAATGACGAAAACGATGATGATTACGATGAACGAGTCAACGAATATGTAGAAAATGTTGTCAATGATACCAAGCAAGTTTTTTACACAGGACCGGTATTCTTCAAAGGATCCATTATCTGTGAAAAATCTCGTGGAGAGTATACAGTACACTTCTATTTGTATACAAAGTCAATATGGAAAGAAGACATAAAAACCTCAGTGAAGAAACATTATTTGGAGGATTTGGTAGGCCAGTCACCTGCATTGTCTCTGAGATCAGAGAGAATATTGCAACCCTGGAGGTGTGTCTTTCAGGGTTCTGTAAATGCAAACATTTCTGATGGATGTTCAGCTTATGGAAACAAGAAAACGCAGATTGAAGACACAGAGAAGGAAATGATTACGAAATTTCTCGAGGGTAACTCACTAACAAGATGGACTTTCATGGATATTTTGAAAGAAATGTACATGTTTGAAGTGTCTCATGTAACTTTTTTATCTCGTTGGGTCCATTTCATTGCAACACCAATCAACATGATATTGAGCATGATGTTTCTTTCGCAATTTTACCTGATTGGCGGTCGCTATGGTAGCATAATAAATCTGAACGCCTCCCATATACTGGTTTTCTTTCTTGTTGCCGGCTACATGCGACTGGGAACTATAAGGAAGTGCGAGCTTTGGGGAATCTCTGTGTCTATCGTGATACTCTGTCTTTCTTTGACGGGAAGGTCTCTCTATATCCGGGTCTGTGGATACGAGTCTTGCTCGGAAGGCATCTATATTTTACCCTTAGTGTTTGGATTTTTTACCAGTTTGCTTCAGATCACTAGCGACTACTTGTATTCAGACTTTTCAACAGGGGGTACACATACTTTCAAAATATTTACGACTGAATTAATTACATTTATATTCTTTAATTTGAAATTTAAACTTTTTCAATTTCACTTTTCTATAATTATTTTCTACATGATTGAAGGTTAGAATAGATAACTTGAATTTATTATCTGCAGATATTACTTTCGAAATACTGAAAGAGATTTTGTATGGGTTCACGTTTGACACCAGTCTATCAATTCACGATCAACTCAGATCAATTGTGTGGTTCTTTGCTTGGACAGTACCATCTACATTTATGTCTTGGGTACAACAACTTGGAATACAGGTGAGATAACCATAGGATCATACAATTGTTGATACACATTCAAAATAAATTTGTAGCCTAACGCTTTTTAAACATTGCTAGGCTTTTTCAATCCGCTTTTTTATAAAAAAAAAAAATTAATTGATCATTTAAACGACATACTTGCTATGTAAGTTGACCATACGGAGATACATTTTGATATTAGGGTCCAAAGTTATGGTCAGTGATGATATTTTTTGAAACGTATTGAGAAAGCAAATCAAGGACTTGTTACAGGTCCAAGAAAGATCACATTTGATTTTGTCTTTATTTCGAGTCAAAATCAAGGTCAAAGCAGCTATGAGCGAAGTTTGAATATAAGTTTTAAGTAACTTTGAAATTGCCATCAAACACCTTTAAACTAGGTGCCCTTGTGTGTAACATTATTTTATTTGTGTGATCAGAAAATAGAAAAGGGGGTGTGCAATTTTCAGAACATTCAAAGTAAAATTAGATATGTTAAATATTGTATCATAGATGTGTATGTGATTGTATGCATAATTGATGGAACAGCCTTTGCTAAAAAAATGTATACAGGTGGCTAGCTTAGTGTCGTTTACTTCATAAGAAATAATGGAATATTTTCAGTGGATGTAAATATACATGCATAATGTTTTCATATATTCAGTTATCATATGTTTATAAACGTTTAATTTAATCATAATATAAATAATCTTGATCTGTATGATTATTCAATCCTGCATCTTTCTTTAACAGTTTAAGATAACTTTCTTTAATTTTCTTAAACTTTCTTTAATTTTTCTAACGTCGGATGTAATTTAAAACAATCCTGTTTTAGGTAGGATTTGTTCTGACAAATATTGGATATAGACCACCAGAAGCAGAAATCTATGTCAAATACCTGAAAAGATGTGAACAAAATAACTTGGACATTTATCATCGCTTGCCAAAGTCTTCCATCGACGTGTCCAGAATGTCCATGTCATCCCCATGTGTTCTGGCTCTCAAAGAATGTGGACTGATGAGAAAAGAAAAACTGACTACCAAGGAGACCCTCAGCCTCTGTGTTACCATCAGATTATGTTCAATTTATTTTCAAAAGAAGTAATATTATGATTTTTTTTAATCGAAGACAGAAAGGAACCCATGGTCTAAATTCTGCATCATAATTTTTAAACATGTATAGTTTGACATTGTCAGTTAAGTCGATTAAGACTTGTATTTGTCATTAAGTAGGATAATTGAGGAAATTTTCATGTATATGAAGTGTCTTCTTGCTCTAATATTTTATTTTGCTGTCGAAAGAGCGACAACTACATGTAACATTCAAAAAAGACTGATCCCAAGCATGAAAAATTATAAAGTCAACTACGATGGCCGATAGTCGCTCGCGTGGCGCAGTGGTTAGAGCGTCTGCTCTAGAGTTGCAAGGTAAGGAGCTGATCCTTACGCCACGGGTTCGAATCCACTGCTTTGGAATCCACCACTGACGTGGAGACCGTATAAACCGAGGTCCCGCGTCGCAGGAGGTGTTGGCACGAAAAAGATTTCTCACTGCTCAATGGCCCTTAGTTAGAATAATCTAACTGTGTCTCGGGACAAGCCCTCACCACAGTTAGAATACGTCCCATATACTTGCAATATAGCAAATTGGAGCGGATCCGCTCCGAAATGATTTTGATGAATACAAAAGGACTAAAAATAGCTACCAAGTTAATCATAACTAACCTTTTTGAGATTGTATATGCCTTTTTACCTAAAAAATAATCCATATAAATAAGAAAATTCAACTCATTTTCTCAACGTTTTTTCCTCGCTTCAAATTTACACGCCATCTTGACATTCGGAACTCTCTGGATTGTTCATAGAAAATGCACAGAGTTCGAGTTATCGCCCGTGTTTATTTTGATACATTGCTCATACACGGAACGAATTCTATCGTTAAACCGGGTCCGTAGGACAATATCATTTAACGACAGCGTTTTATCTTAAATGGCCCTAAGTCCCAGTATAATGTATAAATTTGCAGCCCTACACCGGCAAGTGGTGGCGATTCCATTAGTCGCAGGTCTGTAGCTCGCTGGTCTGAAAAAAAATTGGGATGGATGACAAGAAAACTACAGTGCCACCCATTGAAAAAAGTGGAAAGTTATTGCGCACAGAAAAGTGCGCCGTTTCTCGATTTATTTCTCCATATATTTAAGCTCCCATCTCAAAATATAATAAACCATGTGTTCCTAACATATTTTTTCCCTTCTCCCACAGTAAAACATTTCCCAAAACCGTTGTTCATAGCCCTCCTGTGCCTGAAATTGAGACCATCGAAAATTTCGCCTATTTATACTGCCATGATGCCATCTTGGGTGGCAAGACGATTCGGTCCATGATTGGTACATGAGTTGTACATACAGTTTTTTTGCGTAAGTAGTAAAAGAATATGTTAGGAACACACGGTTAGTAATATTTTGATATTTACGGACAAATAAATCGAGAAACAGACTGACAGAGCACTTTTTTCTGCGCAATAAGTATTCACTTTTTTCAGTGGGTGGCACTGTAGCTCTCTGGTCGACCATCCCAATTTTTTCAGACCAGCGAGCTAAAGATTGGCAGCTACGATTCCATATGAGTGAAATATTCTCGAGAGGGACGTTAAACAATAAACAAACAAACAAACAAACGATGGCCGATATGAGCCTTCAAATTACAAGTAAGAGTAAATCTATCATGTGCCCAGAAAAAAATGACTTTAACAGTAATACCAGTGTCATATTGTACATATACAGTTTTGTACATATACATGTACAGCTTTGTCAATGACAAATCGCTTGTAGTTGTGATATAAATTTGTACATGTAAAAAATCTAAAGACAAAATACATTTGAAACTACTTAACATTCCTCAGGTTTATGGAGGAGATTATCTGTATACTTAGACAGGTACTAAAACAAAACACGTATGTCTGGTTTTCTTCTCATTTTTTCCCTTTTTTACTGGGGGGGGGGGGGTCGTTAAATAAATGCTGTTTGCCCAAATATTTAATGATATTAAAAAGCATAAAAACTGTCTTTTCTTTCACATACTCGTCTGAGATCACAACTTTTTGATTTTTCCATCAAAGAATATTTTGAATTATATATGAATGTTGTGTAGTTACCATGGAAACGGTGTCTAAAGTTGATTTTTTCTGAAAAATGCAATTTTTGGGAATGTTACTTAATGAAATGCGGCTACTTCAATTCATGTTACTGACACAGATATAAGAAATATGACATCTAATTTTAAAAGGCATTTAAAAACATTGTTGGAATTCAGTCTATAAATATAAGAAATCTATGATTAAAAAAGCAGACATTCATTAAAAATTGAATTATCTCTCTTTGATTATTGTGAGCTCTTTAGTGTGAGAGATGAAAAAAATCATTGGAAGTTGTTTACATTGTCAACATATATCCTGGATTTCAAGAAAAATCAAGTGTTATTTTTCTTTATATTTAATGTACATATACATTTTAACCTCTTTGTTTATTTCCTGCATGCAAAAGAGTAATTTTGATGTGTGAACAATGGTGAAATGTACAAAACCACGTGCTACAGGAAATCAGCTCTGTACACATTAATGATATTGAAGTCTAAGGCTCAAGGTCTTAGGAGTTTCAAAATGAGGATCAAATATAAACTTAAGATATCAAAATTATATTGAATTGGTTGTAAGAAGAGGTACAGTGTCTCAGTCAGAGTGATATATTGCCTTGGAAAGCCAGTGTTTTCTAATAGCGAGCGCAGCGAGCGGCGCGAAGCGCCGCTCGTCACTGCGAGCTCTAACGACAACGCCTGGGCGAAGAGAAAATTCAGACTACTGCACATTCATTCAATGGAATTTTTTTCCGCAGTAATTCTGGACCCACAATGCATCGCTTCTTGTTCTCGCTGCTAGCTTCATTAACGCGGTAACAACAACTAAAATTTCACAAAAAATAAACTCACCTTAATTTAATGGATTTTGCATGCAGATAGTAGATTAAATGTTCTTTGTTAAAATATTTGCACTTTTTAAACTTTGTTTATGGAAATGCAGCTAACATACGACGTCATGTGACGTCACAGTCTAGACGTTCCAAATGTCTCGTGCGGTTTGAAGAGGCGGATCTTAAAATGAAGTGAACAATGCGCTCGCCCCAACGGTCGCACCGTCAACATATTAAAAAGAATGTAAAAAACAAAACTGAATTATAACGTGAGAGAACTAGGCTATTGATTTTACCTATTCTCTATTGAGAAGTTGATGGCTCGTTTTAATACTCCCCCTCAAATTCTTTACGAAAGGCCTAATAAAAGCAGTTCAGAAATTGACTAAATGAAGAACCAAAGCGGGTCCCAATTCGATCGATGTTTTAGGATTGATGCATTATCATAGACATATTTTGGATGCACAGATGTTGTTTTGCAATTGAACTGCGATTAAAAATACCCATTCTGCTGACTTAAAAATATTTATCACGGTAGAACACTTACTTGCGATATCTTTGTCACCGGATTCGTTTATTCATTCAAAACTGCGTTTGAACCCTGTTGACGTCTGAAAAAGGTTTATAACTTTTTTCCCCGGATAAATTGGATTAAATGTTCCAGCATTGAATCTTTAGAGGTCAACCCGGGTTCAAACGCAGTTTTGAATGAATAAACGAATCCGGCGACACAGATACACAGATATCGCAAGTAAGTGTTCTATCATTAAAAACGTGTTTTAAGTCAGCAGAATTGGTATTTTATTCGCATTTCTATAGCAGAATAACATCTGTGCATTCAGACTACGTCTTTGACATCGCATCAGACCTAAAACATCGATCGAAGTGGGGTCCGGTTTGGTTCTTCATTTAGTCAATTCTGAACTGCTTTTATTAGGCCTTTCATACAGAAGTTGAGGGGGAGTATTAAAACGAGCCATCAACTTCTCAAAAAGAACAGATTTTACCTAAATAATTAAAGTCAAGCTACATTTACATGGTCGTACAAAAATTAAAGTTGAAAGTTGGATAAAAAATAGGCTTTGTAACAATAAAGTACAGATGTATCAAGTACATGTATATATCGAATGTTTTTTTATATAAGTTGATGCCTGTCATTAAAGGGACAACCATTTGATTCGGGGGGGGGGGGGGGGGGGTGACAGATTTTAGAAACTTATAATCTGTTCTTGAAAATGTTGACAATAAATGATCTGTCCTCGACTGACGGGAAAATAAATTAACTATCCTTGATAAGTGCTACAACCTCACCCCCAACCAAAGGCACTTGTTTCGGTATCATTTTTCGGTAATATTATTATTATACTATGGGTTAAAAAATTATTACGGAAACAAGTGCCCCCCCCCCCCACACACACACACAAAAGAGGGGCTCTTCAGACTTTTTTCAGTGAATCAGACAGAAAATAAATAATCTGTCCTGGATCATCTTGGATCATCACTACCATGAAAATGAATAATCTGACTCGAAAAAATTTGCATCCCCCCTTCTGAATCAAATGGTCGTCCTTTATCCCATAGTCGTATTCTGCAGTTTTAAACAGGATTTATGTCATTCATAATTTATAATTATTTTACATGTAAAAAAAAATCCACACCTAAAAACCCTGTTTTTAGTGAGGGTTGTAACAGAAAACTCAATCTTTTTAGTTCCTCCTACTGTTTGCCTTAAACTGTATCATAAAAAATAGAGAAAAGTTATGTGTGTATATTTCAGATCTAGATTTGGACATTTTATTCAATGATTTTAAAAACATTTACAAAGAAATTTAATGTTGCTGATCCAGGAATTTTCTTTAAGAAAAAGGTCTTTACCCAATAAAAAAAAAGAATAAAAAATATTGTTTAGGCCATTAATAAATATGTTTTGTTTGATTTCTGTCGATTACTCAGCATTCAAAATTATACTTTCAATTTTTTTTTTGGGGGGGGGGGCATAGAAATACAAATTGTCTGAATCATATTTAAAGTTAACTGTTTATCATTTCTCTAGACTAAGATACAATTAGATTGAACCTTATAGCAGTAAAATTAATATTAAATCTGTCTAGCTCTATTTTATTAATAATGAAAACATAAATTTCTGACAAGCCCCCCCCCCCCCCATTTCTACCAAAAGAAAAAAAGCATAAATTAAGCACAAAATATCTATACCTCGGGAATGGGGGTGGGTTGGGGTTATTCACTTATGGATGAATTGCTTTCTTTCATATTTATAAATAACGCTTCTTAGCGTTTTACAAGGGATCCGTGTTTTTCTTACAAATGACTTTTCCCAATTTATGTGAGGTAAGTGTTTTTACATGGTTCCTGGAAGGGGTGGAGTAAGTCCTGGTCATTGGTTACTTATTATATTCATTTTAAAAAATGAAAACCGTAGGAAAAAGGCAGGGACAGATTATTTATTTTCAACATTTTCAAGGACTAAAGTTAGAAAGTATGTTTACATAACACAGCATACAGTGTACAGTTCCATCAAGCTTACCAAAACAGGGCATACGAACAGGTCCAGCAGAAATTATTTTTGATTAAATTTCGGAAATAGCAGATCTATTACGTAAATCCAGGCATATTTTGGTTGAAATATTTTTCAACAATTCTCTAAATTTTGAAGTTTTTAAGAATAAATTTGCTAAGTAAAATGGATTTAGGCTTTTTCTGTCAACTTCTCTGAAGTCACAGGAAAACACATTTTGACTGTCACTGGAAAGGTGCAGAGTCTTGAATAGGGCTTAGTCTTCAAAAACAACAAAAGAGTGTTTTTACATGCATGAAGCACAATTCTCAATATGGTAAGTGTATAGGCTTTCGATATTTTGACTTAGGTACTTTTTTTTTCATTAATAAATGACTTTTAAAAAATCCTTCTCATAACATTGTCACATTAGGCATCAAGCAGAGAATGTAATACCAGTTTCTGTAAAATACGTTGTATATAAAACAGGACACGACATTCACAACATCCGAATATAAATGCTAAAATAACAAGCTTAATCAGAGAATCTGTATCATCTGCTTAAGGTAAAAAGAAGAGCATGTACGGATCTAGAGGGGTGTTGGGTCGGGTGAGGATGGGGCGATGGGGACACTTTCAAGGGGCGGGCTGGACCATAAGGAGTTATGATATAAAATTTCATTGCAAAAGCTTAAAAGCTTCTTGAGATATCGATCGGAAATGAAAGTTTTACACACAAACAAAATTTATATATTTTTGACCTTTTGACCTCGAAATTAATAGGGGTCTTCTTAAGGCCATAGGGAGTTGTGGTATAAAATTTCATGGCAAAAGCTCGAAGGCTTCTCGAGATATCATGCGGAAATAATGTGTTAAAACAGACAGATTTATGAATCCATGACCTTGACCTTTGACCTTAAAATCAATGGGGGTCTTTCTTAGGCAACAGGCAGTTGTTATGCTAAATTTCAAAGGCTTCTTGAGACATCATGCCGAAACGAAAGTATTACAGAAAGACAGACTGACGGACGGACAAACAGACCCAAATTAATATCCCCCATTTTCAGTGAAAGCGGGGGACAAAAAGGCAAAGTTTGTATAGCGTTGTGACCTTGAACTTTGACTTTCTGTCCGTATTTACCAATTCATGTGATGCTAGTTATTGTCCACCAGAACTGTAATTTTGTTTATTCATATTATGTTGTTTAAAAAACAAGTATTAGTTATGACACACAAAAAAATATGTGCTTAGTTTCCTTTAATTTCCATCTAGATCGAGTCATTTTGACCTTGACCTTTGACCTTTTGTCATGAAAATTGATTTTTCTCATTGTTTTTGCTATTGTGTACCACATATCTAAATTTGGTTTTAATCCATTTTAAAATACTCAGGTATTTGTATGGAAACTGATTGTAGATACCTATTGCTTTTGCATGGAATTCTTTAAAAAAGCATACTTTTGTAACCATTGTAACATGAAAACAAAATATGAATATCAAGTGTTTCTTTACAATTTATATTAGAACTATGTATGGACTTTCAAACCAATGTATTTATTTTTTCCTAAATGTCCGCAAAATTTTATACCAGGTTTTTCAAAAGAGCCTAAAATCTACACTATTTCCCCAGAAAAATCCTACTTAAAAATGGGAAATATTTTTTCTATGAGGTAGAGTAAGTCAAATACTAGAAATTTCTAAAGAACTATAAAGATGATATATTTTGGCAAAAAGATAAAGTCATGTAAAAATATCTTGTTCTATTAAAGACTTTTAATTAGTCAAAAAGGGTCATTTTTCATCAAAATTTAAAGTATTTTAGGCCATGAAAATTGTATTTTGGTTGCCATGGTAACCACTGACCATAGCAACCATTTTATTATGAATTTTAG